TGGAATGTCGGGGCAGGGGGAAGTGACCCCCCCTTCCTCACACGCGTGCATCCTTCCCCCCCCCCCCACAGCCCTGCCCCATTCCACAAGGATGCCTCTCTGTCTGAGCCAAGGTATCTCCTGGGCCAGGCGAGGGAGAAGCAACCCATTGAAGAGACGCCAAAATCGAGAGTTGAGTCCCAAACTCCTTTTTTTTTCCAGCCTTCCAAGTTTTCCCGGCGCTCAACGCAACTTTTTCTCCCTTTATGGCTAGTCCCCCATTTACCACAGTTCGTTTAGTGACGGTTCGAAGTTACAACGGCACTGAAAAAATGGACTTAGGACAGTTTTTCACACTTACGGCCGTTGCAGCACACACACACACACCCCATGGTCAAGTGATCAAAATTCAGACGCTTGGCCACTGTCTCGTATTTACGACGCTCGCAGTGTCCCCCCGGGGGTGGGGTCATGCGATCCCCCTCTTGCGACCTGCTGCCAAGCAAAGTGAAATGGGGAAGCCGGGTTCACTTGGCGACATGTCACTAGCTTAACCACTGCAGTGTTTCACTTAACAACTGTGGCAGGAGAGGTTGTAAAGTGGGGGGACTCACTTAACAACTGCCTCACTTAGCAACAGAAATTTTGGGTTCAGTTGTGGCCGTAAGTGGAGAACTACATTGCATTTCCTCAACGCTGGCAACTTTAAGCTGGGTGGACTTCAACTGCCAGAATTCCCCAGCCTCTGAGGTAGAGAGAGAGAGAGACAGAGAGAGAGAGAGAGAGAGAGAGAGAGGAGAGAAGGGAGGGAGGGAGGGAAGGAGGGAGGGAGAGAGAGAGAGAGGTGGATGGGTGGGTGGGTAGATAGATATAGCTAGATGGATGGATGATAGAGAGAGAAAGCTATAAGACGACAGACGATATGATTAGATTAGAGATTAGAGATAGATGAAAGAGAAATGGTAGATAATATACAGAGAGAGATGACAGAAGATATACAGACAGAGGAGAGAGAGAGAGACATGGATAGATAGATGATAGATGATAGATAGATAGATAGATAGATAGATAGATAGATAGATAGATAGATAGATAGATAGATAGCTATACAGTAGATAGGTAGATAGAGATAGGTAGGTAGGTAGGTAGGTAGGTAGACAGACAGACAGACAGACAGATATAGATAGCTATAGAGAATAGATAGATAGATAGATAGATAGATAGATAGATAGATAGATAGATAGATAGATAGGTAGGTAGGTAGGTAGGTAGGTAGGTAGGTAGCTAGGTAGCTAGGTAGGCAGACAGACAGACAGATATTGATAGCTATAGAGAATAGATAGGGAGAGAGGGAGAGAGAGAGATGATAGAGAGATAGCTATAAGATGATAGATGATATGGATAGATTAGAGATTAGAGATAGATGAGAGAAAGAGATGATAGATAATAGAGAGATAGATGATAGACAGGATAGATAGATGATAGATAGATAGATGGATGGCTTATCAATATATATGAAGAAGAGAGAGAGAGAGAGAGAGAGAGAGAGAGAGAGAGAGAGAGAGAGAGAGGAGAGAGAGAGAGAGAGAGAGAGAGAGAGAGAGAGAGAGATTAAAGTTGCTAAGGGTGAGAACCATTGCAACAGAGAATCATGTCCAACTGAACCAACCCAGGACTCACTCTGACTCCTTAGAGCCCCTGGTATAAAAGCAGTCTACCTTTCTCCCAGCCTGCCCTCCTGGGCATCCTTCAGCGCCATCTCCTTCCACCCTCCGTGCAGCTCTTCCTCTCCGCTGGCAGCCGGCCGAGCTGGGGAGGAAAGGGATGGGAAATGGGAGTTTTGCAAACCCCATCCCGTCAAAGAAATCCCCCGTGTTCTCCTCAAGAACGTTTCAAATACCGGGAGGACTTTTGTCTGCGTGTTTTTCTGGGGAAAAAACAAGGAGGTATCCAGGAAATTCTGGCGGGGGGGGGCAAGAAGAGTGGACGGTCCGAAAGGCTTGTTTGCCGGGCTCCAGAAAGGGACGGGGAAAAAATGCAGAGGAATTTGGCCGCCTGTTTTTCCAGTTTTTGCTCCCAAATGGACGGCCAACGGAACGTGATTCTTCCCTTTTTAATGGCAGCAGGAGGAAAAAGGAGATTTCCTTCGAGTTCCATGGAAAAAAACATTTTTTTCCCCAAAGTTCGGACCAGACAGGCAATCCTCAACTTGCAACAGTTCATTTAGCGACCGTGCAAAGTTGCGACGTCGTTGGAAAAAGGGACCTACGACCGTTTTTCACACTTACGACCGTTGTAGCATCTCCCAGGCTCACAGGATCAAAATTCAGACGCTTGTGGCAAATGATTCGTATTTATGATGGTCGCGGCATCTCTGGGGGGGTCATGTGATCTCCTTTGGCGACCTTCTGACCAGCAAAGTCAGAGGGGGGGAGAAAGCCAGATTCACTTAACAACTGTGTGAGACTAATTGCAGCGATTCCCTTAACAACGGTTGCAAGAAAGGTCGTAAAATGGGGCAAAACTGACTTAGTCACTGCCTCGCTTAGCAACGGAAAGTTTGGGCTCAGGGGTGGACATTAGCCAAGGGCTACCTGCAGAGGAGAGACTGGGAAGATGTTCCAGCGTATTTTTAGCATCCTTGGGAGGGAACCCAGAGGTCATTTAGTCCAGCCGGGTGGAATTTTCCAAACAGAGGACCAAAGGAATGTTGGATCGTCTACAGAGGGTGACCGTTTCCTGTTTGAACAGCGCCAGCAAACTCAAATATATTACTTTGTGGAAGGAGACTGCTTTCTGTCAGAAAGCTCCTAATCCTGTTTTAAATCCATTTTAAAATAAAACATTAAAATCCTGTTCATTTGAAAGGCAACATTCGGAAGCGTCCTTTCTTCTGATCTCCCCAATTCTCTCCTTGGCCTGGCTTTGAAACAAAATAGGAGTCTGCTAATGAATTAATACCGTAACATAACCACCACCACCCCCCAAAAAAATCTTAGAACATTCATGCTGTAAAATAGTGACTGGCACAGAACGAAGCAGCTAGACCTCATGAAGTTCAGGAGGAGAGATGGTGAGAATGGGGGATGAAGAGGAGGAGAGATGGTGAGAATGGGGGATGAAGGGGGGGGGAGAAAGGGTGTCCCCTAGCGAATGAATACTCTAAGCCAAACACAGCAGCCACACACTGTAAAACGAGGGCTGACCCAAAATGAAGCGGCTAGACCTCGTGAAGTTCAGGATTGGAGATTGTGAGAATGGGGGGAGGGGGGGCGGAGAAAGAGTCCTCTTAAGAGCAAAGACTGAAAGCATTTGGTGCTTCCTCGCTTCAGCTTTGACTTCGGTTCCCCCGTGCAAAATGACTACATCTTTATTTTATTTTATTTTTTAGTAAACTTTCACATTCATCTCAGCAGCCAAACAGAAAAAAAAAAAAAAAGAAAAATTAGGAAGCAATTGCATGAATTTATGAACGGCGGGCAGCCTGAGGGCGCAAACAATTCTTGCATTAAAAAAAAAAAAAGATTTTTTTTATACACTTTCCTACCCGAGAGACACCCCACACAAATGAGTTTTAAACGGCCCAAAACAGGATAAAGTTTGTTCCTAAAAGTTGACCTCCGAAAGGTGAAGCTGAGCTGTTCCCCTGTCGAAAATCACGTCTTTTCTCTTTTTTTTCCCCCCCATCAATTTTTCACTGTCAAGCATGACCAGCAGCAGCCCAGGAATTTTTCCTCTTTTTGGCATCCTTTGAAGCTGCTTTTTTTTTTTCTTTCCCCTTTAAAAAAAAAAGAGAGAGAGCTAAAGAAAAAGGGAAAATAATTGCATTTCCTCTCTCTCTCTCTCTGCTTTGGCAGCAAAATTTTTGGCAGGCTTTCCCAAGAGGGAGTCAATTTCCTGCTCCGGCGTATCACTAGAGCTGAGCAAGAGCCCAGCCTGGACATTTCGGCACTCGGGAGCTTAGGAGCACGAAGGAGGAAGCTCGGTCTGGCTGCGTCCGAACCTGTGGAACTTCGGCCTGCTCGCCTGGTCTCCTCGGTCTCGCTGGGCTCCATCACCCTCTGGTCTTCCTGACAGGCTGGAGTGGAGACGAGCCGAACTGAACCGTCTGCTTGTCCCTCGTCCGATCGCACCACGACCCAGCCCGGCGGGCTCCAGTTTTTCCAGCCCTTTGCCTCTGGATACGGGCTAAAGGGGGACAAGGAGGAGAAGGGACGGACCGTTTGGATTGCCTCGAGATGGCCCTGTGGTGCTTCGCCCTGCTGCTTCTCATCCCTGGCCCTGCAGCCACGGCCACAAGTAAGTAATAATAATAATAATAATAATGATAAAGTTGGAAGGGACCTTGGAGGTCATCAAGTTCAACCCCCTGCTCAGGCAGGAAACCCTACACCATTTCAGACAAATGGCTGTCCAGTCTCTTCTTAAAAACTTCCAGTGTTGGAGCATTCACTGCTTCTGGAGGCAGGTTGTTCCACTGGTTAATTGTTCTAACCGTCAGGAAGTTTCTCCTTAGTTCTCGGTTGCTTCTCTCCTTGGTTAGTTTCCATCCGTTGCTTCTTGTCCTGCCTTCTGGCGCTTTGGAGAATAGCTTGACTCCCTCTTCTTTGGGGCAGCCCCTGAGATACTGGAATACTGCTATTATGTTCCCCCTCAGTACCGTTCTTGCTTGAGTCTCCGTTGGAAAAGGGAGATGCTAAAATTGGGGGGGGGGTGTTGGGGGGGTGTCTAGGGAGATTCTCAGTCATCCAGATCGTGGTTGCCCCAAAGGTGGTTTTTTCAGGAGGCCACTGGACTTTCTTGTTTTTCTTTGAAGATGTTTCTCTTCTCCTCCCAGAAGCTTCTTCAGCTCTGACTGGATGGTGAGGAATGGAAGGATTTATACTCCTTGCAGACAGCTGGTCATTTGCATGCTTTTAAGAGAGTCGTTCAGGCCACTTGGAGGTTTACCTGTGTCTTCAGGGTCCCCTGAGTGGTGTGAATGTGTGTGGAGCCTTCTTGGCTGCAGGATGTTTTCTGCCCTGGGTCCCTTCCCTGTTGAAGACATGAGTCTGGGTTGCCTGCATCTCACACTGAAGCGCAAATGGTGCCTGTAGCCTGCAATGTTTTGGGGAAAATCCATTCAGACTCCCGCTCCATGGCATTGGACCTGGTTACCTCCGAGACCGCCTTCTGCCACAGATTTCCTCCCACAGACCGGTACGCTCCCACAGAGTGGGTCTCCTCAGGGTGCCGTCGGCCAAACAGTGTCGGCTGGCGACCCCCAGGGGAAGGGCCTTCTCTGTGGGTGCCCCCACCCTCTGGAACGAACTACCCCCCGAGATCCGGATGATTCCGGATCTCCTTACTTTCCGCCGAGCCCTCAAGACATGGCTTTTCCAGCAAGCGGGCCTGACCTAGGGAGGATTTTACTTAGGGATGATTTTAAGAATAATTTTAATTACGACACAGCTACTAATATTTGGCTTTTAATCTGGTCTTAGAGGGGTTTTTATTTTGGTATTTATTAATTTTATTTTGGTATTTTATTGTTACTTGTTTTTAATATGCTGTGCACCGCCCTGAGTCCTTCGGGAGAAGGGCGGTATATAAATCAAATTAATAATAATAATAATAATAAGGGGGTCCATCCCAAAGTGCACGGCTAAATGTCCATGGAGATTCTGTCCTCCAGGTCCTGGTTGTCCCAAAGATGCTTTTTCAGGAGGCAACTGGACTTTCTTGTTTTTCTTTGAAGACGTTTTGCTTCTGATCCAAGAAGCTTCTTCAGCTCTGGCGTAGCTAAATGTCTATGGAGATCCTCCGTCATCCAGATCCTGGTTGTCCCAAAGGTGCTTTTTCAGGAGGCAACTGGACTTCCTTTGTTTTTCTCTGAAGACGTCTCGCTTCTCCTCCAGGAAGCTTCTTTTGGGTGGGTGGTTCAAGAGGGTCTGTCCTCCTCTCCAAATTGGGGAGGGGAGGAATTTTGGAGGCTGGCGCTGATCAAGATCAGTCCATGAGACCACCGAGGAGGGTTGTAGCATCTCCTAAAACGGATCTCCAGAAGCAGGTTTAGGGGAAGGCTTGGCAATCTTGATTCTGTCAGAGGTGAGGAGATGGATGGAGACATCTGGGCCAGGATGATGGGCTTGTAATCTCTGGGGATGGGGGTGGTTGACCTGAGCTTCTGAAGATCTTCACCTCAATTCTGAGGCCTGTCTTCAAGGACTCCAAGTTTTCTTTCAGTTTCTCTCTGACCCAGAAGTGAGATTTGAGGGAAGTTTTATTCCATCTTGGGTTCCCCTTCAAGTCCTTTCTATCTTCTCAGCTTTGCAGATTTCAGCAGACTGGGTGGTTTTGTTCCCCAAAAAGGTCTCAAAATAGCTTCCCCTACTTGGAAGTGTTGAGCTAGAGTAGGTGGATGGTGGAAGATATTCAAGGCAGAATTTGATTCGCCGGTACAACCTTGCTTGGAGTTGAGATTAGTTCAGCACGTTCCTCAACCGTGTCAGCTTCAAGCCAGGTGGACTTCAATGCCCAGAATTCTCCAGCCAACATGCTGGCTGGGGGATTCTGGGAGTTGAAGTCCACCCGGCTTAAAGTTGACAAAATTGAGGAACCCCAGTTGAAGTGACGGTTGAGGAACATCAGTTGAACTGGTGGTCTCCAGCCCATGCTCTGCTCTGGGTAGAAAAATCAGTTCCAACTTCTTTCACAATTATTCAGGGATCCAAAAACTGAGGAATGTTCTTAGCTAATACAGTTGAAAATACACACACACTCACTCACTCACTCACACAAACAAGCCTAAAATATTACATTCGACCATGCTCTTGTTTTGCTTAAGTCACGTTGACAACGCGCAAAGCTTCAGTGGAGCCACAAATCTCATTTTCCAAATAAATGCCTCGCCCTCGGACCTTCCTTTTCCACACGCAAGCAGTGGGCAGCTGCTAAGAAGGAGTGACAAATTAAGTGTCACAATTTGGGTACAAAAAGTGCAGCACAACTAATGGGTTTGGGTGGTTAAAAGTGCAACACAACCGATCTGCCGCGAGTTCAGTTTTTCTTCCTTTCTCAATGAAATCAATCCAAAATCAAACTCTCTGGTTTTAATTGCTCAAAAGGTTGGCTTTTTTTTCCAGCTAGGGGCCTAAAGGAACTCTACACATGCTCTCAAGTGCTCTTGTTTTTGGTCTTTCTCTGTTGTTTGTACCAAACTATTCCTGCTTTGTTGGCTAGTTGCTGAAGAAGGAATTGTATTCACGTCACTGCTGTTTATACATTTATTCCATGTTTAACCCTCGTTTCTAGTCAAAGTAGCCAAGCTTTAAACATCCCCCAGATTAAATCCAATTAAAAACAAATCCTAAAATTTGTAGTTGGTTTTAACCTACAGTGTATACTGTATATTGTGAAGCCAGTTCCCTATGTGGATATTTAGACATAAGTATAATGATTTATTAAGGCCTGATTATTAGATGATCCCTCCATGAATAGAGGCAGTCTACCTTTAAATACTAACACAGAACGCCAATCCCATCTTGATCCCATGTCCTTCACTTGATTATCTGTTTTAATTGCTCTGTAAGCCTCATCAATTATTCTTTTATATCCAGAAAGAAATATCACAGCATATTAAGGGATGTGTTCCCTTGATACTAAGTAATTTCTACATGCTGATTTTATGTGATACGAATTTTTTTTTTTTAAAAAAAAGGATTATTTTAAGCAGTCAAATTGGTTTCTTGTTGGTTTTTCATCGCAACTCTGGCTTAATGTGAAATGGGACTAACTTGTCATTTTTTCAGAGAATGCCTGCATATTTGAAACACTCCTCTGCAAAATATGTTTTTCTTAAAAAAAGAATCAGTTTAGAACTATTTATTTTACTGATGGATAAGAAATATTTTCAAACTATCTTTCTTTGTGTAAAAAAAACAAACAAACAACATTTTTTGAAGTTAGGGGGTCCTGTAAAAACCAAATTGTTCAAAGCAGAATTTAAAACGCCCGGCAAGATCTTACAGCGCTAAGGAACAGCAGCTCTAAAAGACAATTGTTAAAAGATGGATAATATTTGTCAGGAATCGAAACTGGAAAAGGGAACGATTTTGCAGGGGGCCAATTAAACCCAAATATGCTTAGTTGAGGCGCTGGGTGCTGAATTAATTACACCTTCTATCAGCGCTATTCAATTTCTCTCAATTGAATATCTTAAATGTTTTGGTTCCCGGAAATTATGATGCTAAAAGACCATCCAGGGAAAGGTGTAAAATATCCTTTCTTCAAAAGAGAGAGAGAGAGAGAGAGAGAGAGAGAGAGAGAGAGAGAGAGAGAGAGAGAGAGAGAGAGA